CTTACATGTGTTCTTACATTGTCACTTCTATGCGCTAGTGCTAACATGTGCACATTCTCATAAGAGCACACATGGACCCAGACATATTAATTCATTCATTCTATGCCACACTCACACGGCAGCACCCCATTGCTAGGATAAGAGGTGTAAGCCCAGCTTCTCTCCATTTAAACTACCCCAGCACTTTAGATGCCTGCACGGCCTGCATTCCCAGACAGGCATAACTCTCAGACGCTACAGCCTAAGCACATAGCATGGCATTTTACTGGCCTGTTGTGTTATTGTGACAAAGATCAAAGGTTGAACTTGAAAAGTCCTCTGCGGAGAAAGCCCTGCCAAAGGTGGAATTACATTTATGTTGAGTTTTTCCAATGGCATGTTTTACAGTGAACAGTCACGTCCTGCGTGAGTGAGTCAAACAATAAGTGGCTTTAACAAGCAATAAAAAGACACTTACAACTGATAAAGCATTTCTCTTAGTTTAATGAAGGGCTCAGCCAACCTCTTGCTGCTGCCCTTTATTAAAGACCTTGCAAGCATGTAAAATGGATGGATAAAGGGGATTTTGGAGGAATGTTGAAGAGTTTATGGAAATCGTCAAGAAGAGACGGTGATGAATGCTCCAGGCACACTGTACATATGGCTTTATCATCAGCCACTGAAGGAAAGCTATATAATACATGATCACCACTTGTACTGTCCTTGTCAGCACCACAGGCCAGCTTTAGAAAGAGCTCTTAGTCAACATTCTTTTTAGCTGATGCGTGTTCCATCCTTCATTTACCCGTTACCCTTTATTTACGCCCTGGTTCTCACATAATTCATTACTGTGGCTGGGTATTGTTTAAAATTGATTTCATACTATTTCTGACCAATACAAAGTTTTAATACGCATACCAAAACGATTTGTATTGCTAGAGCTGCAGCGATTAGTTGATTAATTGATTATTGGGCAGCTATTAAATTAATGATTTCAGTTTCTCAAATGTGAATATTTCCTGATTTCTTTAGATCTTTATGACAGTGTGCTCTGCAGCTTATACATATATACAATCATCTTCTTGATTTAAAATACATGAAATTCATTGTTTTAACACCCTTACAGCACCAACACATTCCATCATTTCCTATCAGCTCACTGTCAGTGTTCTGAACTGAATATCTTTGGGTTGTTGACAAAACAAGACATTTGTTGATGTCACCTTGGGCTTTGGGAAACACAATTCACATTTTTCCTACTTATTATAATACCTTAGTTTCAGATATAAATGTGTTTTTTACAACTTTTTCATTTAGAAAAGAAGCCAAAGATTATATAAGGAGGCTATGAATCTAACCAGGAATTCAATTCAAGCTTTCTGTCCCTGACAGTTTTCAATACGTGGTGCTCTGCATACAGTGTGTTTCAGTCGGTACCATAGGAGCATTGAGGTTTGTTACCAGGGCTGTAGTCAAAACCACATAAGTCAAATTTAAATAAGTCCAGGCAGTTTTGAAATCAAGTCAAGACAGGGTCCAAAATGGTCCTTGTCTGAATAAAGACTGAGTCTTTTTGAGATAAGATAGACTTTATTGGTCCCACACTGGGGAAATTCACTCGCTACAGCAGCTCCAGGTACAACACACAACAGATATACACTCTAAATAAAAACAGAATAGAGAAATACAAGACAAAGAGAATAAATAGAAGAAAAGTTGTATGTACACTGTATGCAGCTTTTTATACAGATGTGATTGATAGGGAATATTGCATATGGGCTCAAGACAAAGAGCAAAGAACAAACCTGTGACCATTCGGTATTCTTCATATTTTTGTCTTAATGTTGTTCATGATTTTTATTTTATTATTTATCTATACTATAGTATAGATTATTATAGTTTGATCAAATCAGATAGTTTGTGTTATAAGCAAACTGGACGTGGTCTAGACTGATGGCTGAGAACTAGACAATTTGGAATCAGAATATCCATTAATTACACAGAGACCAGTTAGAACACCCATAAGACTGAGACAAGTCTGAGTCAAATCACTTACAGGACTGAGACATGTTGAAGTCCACAACACCGAGACGAGTCAGAGAACACCAATGATTTAGTAAACAACCCTAGCTAAATTGCCAAAACACCCACAAGACTGAAATAACTCTAAAAACAAAAACCTAAAAAACCTTTCTTGAGACTGAGATCCAACAGTTCTACAACCATGTTCGAGTCCCTATCCATTGCCACTCAGAATGGATGCTGTTTGAAACAGTAAACTTGATATGTACGGTTTAATTTGTCTTCATTGATGGCCCAAGTTAAGTGGACTTTTTAGCGGAACATTAAAATCAACTATCAAAGAGCAACTAGGATTCTGTGTGTAGCCTTAGTGTGAGCTGATCCATAAGCATGTTGGAAAGCAGTGTGATAGTCTAATGCCCTTGTGAGTGTGTGTGTGTGTGTGTGTGTGTGTGTGTGTGTGTGTGTGTGTGTGTGTGTGTGTGTGTGTGCGTGTGCGCACACACATGTGGACACTCACACATGTGGACACTGTCTTCAAGACGAGCCACTCAGCTGTCAGCTCAGTCTTATGTGGCAGATGAGGCGCTCAGCAATCTCAGTGACAGGCACAAGATGTCCCGGACTGCCAGGGGCGGGCACACTGACACTGACGCGCACACACACACACACACACACACACCCTGCGTAAAATGCAGCTCAAACAGATGCGCTCAGCTGCGAATCATGCCTAGTGGTCAAATATATGTTTTTAGGGATGAACAGGTAGCTGTAGAGGACAAGGCCAAAGCAAGCGAGTGATCTCTTGACATTTTAACTAATCCCTTCTAGCTTGTGGTTTCTTGCACATTTGCGGATTTGCTAGCAGCCAGAATTGGCTTTTTCACATATGCAAGCTGTCATGTTAGATTGGACAGTGACATGGTTCAGACCAGGGATGTGATGGCTCGAACGCTGAAACAGACTGTGATTGGATTTAGATGACACCGCCGGCTCGGGGCTACTGGCCTTTCTGTTCAAGCTGTGGGTTTAGAAGTAGATTCTTTAACTGCTCTGGTGTCTCATACATTGGCAAACAGCTCACCATGAAGCCAGCAGCATTAACAAGACATCCTGTGATATGGCTATATGACCATTGACAGCCTGCACTACTTTTGAATTTACGCAGATAAAACCTGTTATTTTAAATCTCCTGACCTGCCTGCCTTCATTATTCATGCTATAAAAGTCTTCCAGTGTTGAGGTTTCCTGTGGTAGCAGGTGTTGCTCAGTTGTTTGTATGCTTCTTAGGTGAGGTGTTATTAGTCATAGTCCAACTTTGGGGTGACATTTGTGGTTTCCTGTGACTCCGCTTGTTTGTTTATGTACACAAGCCCAGAGAGGCCACAGTGGCATTGCGTGATACGCGTGAGGGAACAGGCTGTACCTGCCACGGCCCCGTGTTTGGTGGCTCAGGGCGAACACACGGTACCTGTCAAAAGCAGTTAAAGCCCCGTTCAGCAAGCTGCCCTGCATGGCATCCCGTCAGACGCCAGCTGAACTTTTCACTTGTCAATTCTGAAAGGTTAGCGCTAAAATCAGCAGCGACAGATGCAAATGGATGGGTGCTTTCCTGGCATTTTTGTGCAGGGATGCTTCATGTCACCTAGACCACCTTGTCTGCCCCCCTCCTTCCTCCACTCTACTCTGTCATGGCCTCTCTTTAGCCCCTCTGTTCCCCTTTCAGAACACATCTGTCTATGAGGGCAGGTATAACCGACCCCTTCAGGTCCTAAGTAGTATTTTTTGGGGTTTTGGTTTGCCCTTGATCCCTCGCCCACTTGGTTTCCCCCTCCATATCCAAGATTAATCCAATTAATTCTCCATCATTAGACATGCGTGAAACCCTTTTTGCCAGGTGCTGCCACAGTTCTAGCTATTGTTTTCTTGAGCAGGTTTTGAGTACAATATGTTCAGTAGCTGTTCGATAGCCAGTAACATCTTTTTTAAAACAATTTTTCTGTGCATTTTACCTTTATTCTGTAATAATGTACAATACAGACAGACTAGAGAGAAGGAGAAGTTGGGTGACATGCCCGATTATATGATATTGCGTCTCAACCAAAAGGCCACAAGGATGCCTTGTGATGCATTTTAATACCTCAAAGTCTTACCCTTATTTGGTAAGTTGTCAACTGAGCATATCTGTTGATGAGATGGTCTTAGAAATATGACTTGTAAATAATGTATGACAAAAAAAGAGAGCTCTCAAAGTTAGTAAATATGCTGCTTGAAAATAAATCTTTTTTTTTTTCTCACTATGAGATCAAGTCCATCATAATTAAAACATGTGGTCAAACTCGTCTTCAGTATATAGTATGAACTTTTTACCTGCGAGGAGGTCATGTATTTGGTGAACTGAATTTGTCGTGCATGAATGGTGTGCCATGACTAAACAATGAAATGTAACAGCCACCTCAAACACCACTGTAGAAACAAATGCATCAGGTATATATAACAAATAAGCAATCAGGAATGTGTTTTTGGAATTCCAGATTTTCCGACCTGCACAAAACTGTTGTAATTAAAGTGAAGGGTGTGTGGATTTGCACATCATAGAAGACTTGACTATTGGCCTTTGTGGAGGTCTACCCTCTCTGAGTGCTGTTCCAGTTCTCTGAATGTTTTTAGTTCTATGTTATCTCTGCTTCACCACTTTGTAATGTCATTATTCCCAAAAGATGATGGAAATGTTGTAATGTGTACCCAGTATTGATTGTGGCTTATAAGTCACATTACTATTTGATGGACTAAAGGAACCAGAAACAACCTTTCCCCCATAATGATGATTTATTTGTATAGTGCCAAATCATAACAGAGGTTATCTGAGGACCCTTTTCAAATAGAGCAGGTCTAGACCATACTCCTTTTATAAAATCAGCAATTCCCATCATGAGACATGCATCCAAAGACTGTCCCACAGATCCTGAATCATCTTTTAATATACCGGCCTGTTTCAGGTGGAACTGAAGATGAAGTACAATGACCAGCACTGCAAGTCCAGAGGTCTTCTTCCAGGCCATCGTTGGTATGAGATTCAGGCCTACAGAGCTCTAAACCAGGCCCTGGGGAGGTAAATCTGTCCTCTACAGCTAGAGTGTTATGGGAGATTTATTTTGGTGCTGTTTGTCCTTTATACCTAAACCCTTACATTTCATTTTACAGGTGCATCCGCCACAGGAATGACTGGGGTGCCCTAATTCTAGTGGATGACCGTTACAGGAATAATCCCAATAAGTACATCACAGGTACTCAGAGTTCATGTGACAAAATGCACAGCCTCTCACCTTGAACACTAGATGGCAATAGTTACCCACTGTAAGGCTTTTAGTAGTGTTTGTCTCTGATGTGTGTGTCTGTGTAATCACAGGTCTGTCTAAATGGGTCCGCCAGCTCGTCCAGCACCACGACACCTTCGGCAACGCCATGCAGTCTCTGGTAGCATTCTCTCAGGTGCAGCAGAAGATGATGGTGGCCCCTGCAGACACTCAGTCCCCCAGTTCTACTCTCTCCTCTCCAAACAGTCACTTGCCAGCAACTGTAGAGGGACAGGGTCTGTCCAAGGCCTCAGAAGCTCAAACACCCTCTTCATCTGATAAACCGCCTGAACCCCAGCAGGACACAAGCCCCTCCATCTTCCGTTTTTTTTCTCGTACGCAGTTGAAAGCTGAACAAAATGAGAAAGAAGGTGAGCTAAAATGTTAAAAAGGGTATTATATCTCAAGACTTATCTAAGGCCCCCCAAAAAACAGTAATTTTATAATTTGGTTGTGTGAAACTGGTCTCTCTACACACTCTCTAGAAAGCCTATTAACAATGTCACTTTTGAGTATTTTAAATCTGAAAGTTTTACCTTTATGGTGAAATAATTGGGACAATTTTGTCTATATGTACTCTAATGTTTTTGTAAAAAAAAATAGGGATAAAAAACTTCCACATCACAGAGAAATAGGGTTGTAGTAAAGTATCAGGCTGATGTCGTTCTGTATCTTTCTAATAGTCAACAAACCCCATGAAAAGACCATAATCATGGTATGGTACCTGGGTGCTGGAAAATGTAGATCTGAAGACCTGGTTTCACATGTATAGTGTCATTTTCACAAAGGTAAACATTACTCAAACAGGAGTAAATAGTGCATTTGTGGGGTACTTTCAAAATCAACTACAGTGTTGTGCGTTTATGGACCACCCAGTGCAACAGTGTGGCTCACTGATGTGTTTTTAATAGCTTTTGGACAACAATGGACTTCTATGCCATAGTTAGAAGCAATTCACTTATGCCTATATTCCTCCTCTGCAAAAGGAGGAATAGTATTTTATTTTAGTGTTAATACAACTATTTCAAAATATTTGATTTTGAGAAGGAAGCAATATTAAAGTTATGTTGCAGTTTGTACAATAAAAATTGAGGTAATTAAAAAAGTAATGGAAACACCTGGAATTTGATTAAAATTACCAAATATCCTGGAAATAATCTTTTATTGTATATCTATTGTCTATTGTATTTCAGCCTCTCACTTCGAGTGTTCAATTCAAGGCTAGGCCTACCGGTACATTATATAACTCCTGGAAAATGTCCTGGAAAGGTCCTGGAAAATGATGTCTTAAAAAGAGTGGGAACCCTGTTAGGTGCATTCATAAGTAGGGGAAAATACCGCTTTAATATGTCAATTCTACTACTAGTATCTGCTTTCATTCTGGTTAATTGATGACAGTGATGTGATAACGTTGTTTCTCTAAAGTGGATAAGGTTTTGCTTAATAAGTACATCAGGAGTTTATCCAATAGAATTTTTTCTGTCTGTGACCTGGTCGGACTCCCTTCTCTTCCTTCATAAATTTCAAGCAGCGCTGTTTTTAAAAGAAAGCGATCAAAAGGTGCATGTCATTTCTGCACTCAAGGATGTATGAGCATGACATCACCACGGGAAAATATGCTTAGGTGACGTGTTTGCACATTGCCTCGGCGAGCACCCATTGTCTTGGGGCGGTGGGGTCATGACGAGGTTGAGCTGTTTTCCCAGTTGAATCGGGGTTTGGTGGATAGGGGTGGTAGCGGAGCAGTAGCACACACCCCCTCTACCCCCCTCCACCCACCCCTTGGAGTAGCGGTGGGTGTTGGGGGTGGGGGCCATGGGATCAGTTGAGTGGCTTGCCTCATTACTGTAAGGTCTTTTGCGTGCCTGAGTGGCGCTGGAGCGAGCTGATGAGCAGATGTTGGACTGTTGCTTTTAATTAAATCCCCTTGACCTTTGTTTGGGTTATATTGAGCGTAAGCCCACATTTATATCTTTCTTTATAAAACAGCCACGGCACTCTGCACACCAGTCTCATTTCTTGTTTGCTCTGTTGTCTTTGTCAGAGTATAGCTAGTATAAGGTTAATGTCTGTCCCTATGTCTTGTTTTCTTGATGCAGAATGTTTGAAGACGGTGCAGAGTCCTCCAGCACAGCCCCTGTTGCACCACAGAAGACCGGCACTCCCTCTGTACAGCATTTTCACCCCCAGCCCCGTCAGCAACTTCAAGAAGCCAGTCTTTATTAAAAAAGCACCCAGTAACCCCAGCCAGAAGTTGGCAGCTCCTCTTAAACAAGGGCCTCCAGACAGTTCCAGTGAAATCACAGAGGAACCACACAATCTGGCTCTGGAGCCTTCTTCAGTCACAACCCCTCCCAGATGTGAAAGCGATCCACCCTCAGCCGACAATCCAGAAGAAGACAAAGAGGACGAGGACCAGACCGTCTTCTTTACTCCAGAACTTTTCGAGGGAGAAAGCAATGAAGGCAGCCCAGAGATAGAGGCCAAGTCTCCTCCCAGGATGGGGAGCCCTGCCCTGCTGTCAGAAGAACTTTTTGGCTCTGAGCAGGCCCAAGGGCAGGGGCAAGCCCCTGCTGTTGATGGACAGAGTGCTATATTAGTGAGTGAGGAGAGCACAGAGCTGTCACAGGGACTGAAAGAAGAAATCAGAGGGCAGGAGCAAGGTGAGGAGGGAGAGCAGGTGGATAACCAGAGCAGGCAGGCAGACAATAAGCTTCGCAGGTTGTCCAGGTCCAGGCAGAAAGCTCCCTCCACTCCAACAGGTAACTAACAACCTGGGACCTAGAAATGTTGTGAAAAAAGCAGAATGTCTTGAATGCAAATAACATGTTTAGTATGCATTATGGTGGCCAAAGTTTTCCCACCAAATATTAGCAGTAGATGGATATTGAAACAGATTGCAGTGCAATGTAAAACACCCTTCAGTTCAAACCATTGCTGCTTTATTTTTATATCGTATATTCATGTTTCACAATTCATCTTGTAAAGAGTGTAAGTTACAGCTAGCCCACACACTCTTACCATGCAGTACATGATGAGGCTTCAGCCATCTCAGATCAGCTTCTTATTACTGTGACAGCACGTCTTATTAAGGCCATTAAGGCGGGTTCTCAGTTAAAAAGACACAGCCATCCGACATTATTGAAAGTGCAGCACTGATTGAATGTGCATTTTAACAAATCATTAAAATATGAAACCACAAACTAATTTGTTTTCTGTAGAAGTATGCAATCATTTAGTTCTATTTTAATGATGTGTCTGTAGATTATGGGTGAGGAATGTGGATGCTTTAGACATGCCTGATTTAACCTAAAGGGTTAGAGAGACCTTTATTTTTTTTCAATTGCAATTATATAATTGTGTGCTGTAAATGGTATTAGTGTGTGGATACACATCTTTCAGGATAAACATCAATATAAATTCTGTTAATTAAATGTTTGCCTTTCATTGATATTTTTTTGTCATGCAGTTTTTTTTCTTCAACCACATTTTCAGTGCAAGTTAATATACAGACATAACATTTATCTATTGTCAGAAATGGAGTTCAATTGGTGTTCAATTACCTGAAAATAAGAATTGTTGTGTTTTTGTTACCTTAGAATGAGCAGTTTTTATCTATGGAAAGAGCGGGTCCTCTTCTGGCGGAGTCTGCCATGTTGAATCACCATGTTTCTACAGTAGCCCAGAACAGACAAACTAAACACTGGCTCTAGATAGGGCCTTTGGTGTTTTTTGCGGCCACAGTAGTTTCTCCTACACACAACTCACCTCACAGTCTGTTCTCATTCCCAGGTCATCAAATATAGACACGAGTGGTGTTCAGTTGGTTGCAGTCTACTAGAGGCCACTAAATCCAACACACTTCTTCTTTAAAGTTGTAGTGGTTGTGGTCGAGATCATTTTAACTACTTTAAATTAGGGATGCATGATATATCAGCTGATATTTGCCATGTTGGCTGACATGGCCTATCCTATAAGATGTGTTCACCAATATCAGTGGCCAATGTTTATCTGTTGTCACATCAGTTTTGCACTGGTTAAATGTTGTTCCAACTCGGATATTGAAGAAATAATCACCTCTGTTTTCCAGCAATGCACAAACTGCACGCAAATATCGATGTGCTCCATACAGCAGCACGGACAGCTGTTCAGTCTCACATATTTGTTGAGAACAGAAATAGACTGAGCCGCAAGAAAACAGAGATACTTATCTTTGAGATGTGTTTATTTCCCTGGCACAAAAGGGTGAATAAATAACAACAAAAAAAAACATTGGCTATCACTTAAATTGTTATTTTAAACATCAGTATTGGTCCAGGATTTCCCTATCGGTGCATCCCTAGAATAAAATGGAAATATTCAAAGTACAAGTACCTTAAAACTGTACAGTACACTTAATGCAGCTACTTACTTTGAACACTCTCTTACATTTGCTGCACATTAAAGACAAATATTGTAAATAGAAGTTTAAAAAGGTTTATGATATTTTATACATTTATTCATTTCATCAACGAGGATAGACAAAAATATTAGAACCACCTCTCGGTATAACATTTAG